AAGTAAACAGATTTTAGGTGGTAATAGTGGTAATCATAGTAATGTTTTTCTAGTTACAAGAAGATGATGGGGAAGATGCATAATTTACCATTCTTACTACAGTGTGTCATATAGGGAAATGCTCTTTGACTAGATAAACTTTAATTGTGTTTTATTAACCTTCTAAATTTCAATTTGTTTAAAAATTTCAGTTTAATTTTTTTCTGTTTGTTTTATTAGAGTGAACCTTTGGATTGTAATAAAGATGATTTATTTGTAGACCAACAAAAAAATTACCACTTGCTGGTTCCACCTCTGGAAAGAAGAATGAAAGTGAGTACTCTCTGTTTGTTTTCAGCTTTTGTTTTTTGATTAATACTATTCTGAGTGAAGAAAAGAATATTGAGAGAAAGATGCTTGAAACATAGCAACCAGTATTTGTAGAAAAAAATTTCAAAGTATCTTTATATTTTTTGGCACCTTTGTAAAATTTGTTATGCCATTACTTAACTAGAAGTGATACATTTTTATAGGAGTAAGATTTGGTAGAATTAGTAAACGTCATAAGAAATATAAAAACCTCGCTTTTGAAAATACATTCTTTTTGGTTCTTGGATAAGTATGGAACAGTATTTCTTTTGGAGGGACAGTCATTATGATAAATCATAACATGTTCCATACATGAGCAGTGTACCCTCAGGTTTTCCATAAACAGTTCTCTAAAGAGTCCCCCCCCCATCTGTACCACGGTAATGTGTGTTCCCTATAGAATACTAAAAGTATGCAAAGAAATATTTTTTGAGAATGTGAAGTAGTTGTTTAAACAATAGAGAAAACAAATTTCTATAATTTTTGTTTATAGTATTCAAAACATAATAACCAGTGCATTTTGTTGATAGGTCTACCAGTGAGAGAACAGATCTTTTTTAGAACATTTCACTTTATCAGAGCTCACAATTATTGTTCCCTGTTGTCAAAACCAGTTGCAAACATTCATGTGTTAATGCTGATCTTTAATGAGATTTAAAATTCCTTTTCACATGGGTTATTATTGTCAAACACTGATATCAATCTTTGAACATGTAGGGTTTTTTTTTTGAAAGAAAAAAATTTTGAAGGCGCTTCCTTCCTTCCAGAGAACTTCACCTCTGCCACCTAAAAGCTTATCCCAGCGGGGTGTGGTGGTGGGGTCTATAACCTCAGCACTCTCGGAGGCTGAGACAGAAGGGTTGCAATTGGAGTTCAGCCCCTGGGCAATTTAGTGATTTAGTAAGACTATCATAAAACAAAACAAATCAAACCTAAACAAAACAACAGGGATGGGAACATAGCTCAGTGGGAAGGCCCTGGGTTCACCCCTAGTACTGAATGAATGAAGGAAGGAATGAATAAGTAAAGGTACACTCCTCGGACAGTCCCTGAGGGCTGAAAGCTCTGGTGTAAAACTCTGCAGTGAACATTCTGAGGTTTACCTAATCCGGTTATTCCCCAGATGTAGCCCCCCCATCTCACCCCACACAGATTTGACTCAGTGCAGCTTGAACCCCACTTCCCTGACGTAGAGCCAAGATGGTTTAAGACTATCCCAGGACCCAGGGTCTCCTCTAATTGTGAAGTCCACATTCCACATCATGTCTAACACACTAGAATACCCTCATATTTCACTTTAAATGTACAATTCTTTACCATGGGAAAGATGAGAAGCGTTCTTATTCTTCTTGCTTTTGAAATTGTTTAGCTACAAGCATTCATTTACCGCAGGGCTGGCTGTCATCACACATGTGCAGGAAATTTTACACGGTGAGAAAATCAAACCTCCCCCTTCTTTCCACACAGGGAATTTAGAAACGCTAAACTTAAAAATGGATGAAGTTGACGTAATTGTATATTTTATGGACACTTAATTAAAATGTCTGACACTCAAAAAAAAAAAGAAAAAAGTTTTACTGGAACACAGGCACGCCTATTCATTTACGTATTATCTAAGTTCCTGTTTTTGTTAGTGTTACCTGTCATTCCACTATTAAGAAGCAACAAATTTTAACATCTTTGTGTATATATTGCAGATATTTAATGAATGTATGCAAATTTACATGGAAATGTGAGTATAATATACATATTATTATGACCTGCCCTTTTCATTTATAAGAATTTTGAAATACACAGAATAGTTTGAAGAATGCAGTGATTATCACTGTTGTTTTTCTTCATTTTTTATTTTTTTGAGATGAGGTCCTTTGATGTTGCCCAGTCTGACCTTGAACTCTTGGGTTGACGTGAAACCCTTGCCTAAGCTCCCTTGAGTAGCTGGGACTGTAGGTGCTCACCTGATGTATTGTTACTTTTCATAATCATGTTTGCTGCTTCTTCTGTTTGCCTATGTGTGCATATTTTCAGAACACTTTGAAGATTACAAGTGTTATAGTACTTCATTTCCATGTATTTTGGCAGGAGTCCTAAAACTGAGGACATTCTTCTGTATAACCACAATGCTTTTATCATGGTTAGAAAGCAAGAGTGAGCTTACTGAATGCTTGTTCAATGCATATTAGGTATGAATGTGAACAGCAGATAAATAAAACATTATAATGGGTGTAGAACCATAAAGGCAGAGATTGATATATTAAAAAGTTTTGTACCCTGTACAAAGTAAAATAAATAAATAGATAAATTAGGGGGGAAATAAATTATAATATAGAACAAAGGATTAACTTCCATAATATAAATATATGGTATTTATGTAGCATTGTTGGGAATGTAAAGTGGGCCTGCCTTCTCGAAAGAAACTTGTTAGGAGCTGTTACAATATGAATTATACATATCTTTTTACTCTTGCAGTTTCACTTCTAAACATGCATTCTAAAGATGAAAATGATTCAAGGGAGAGTTCTGGGGATTGAACCCAAGGCCTCATGCATACTAAGCATATGATTTATAACTGTGCTACACCCCAAGCCCAAAGATGATTTTATAAGAATTTTTATGTATTGTAAATAATAATGGTCAAAGCCTTAAATATCAATGCTTAGGAATATGGCATATAAATTATGATATAAGAAGTGTGGAATAATATATAGCTTTCAAAAATAATGTACATCTCTGTATTGATTTAGAAATGATGCTAAAATAGTTTATTTTGTGAAAACAGGACCTATTTTCCTGATTAAAAACAAATTGAAATGATAGCTGAAATATTTCTTAAATCTTCTTTAAAGCTTCAAAAAGCTTAGAATATAAGAATAAATTATCAAGCCAAACTTTGAAGGCTGGAACCCAGAGAAGTAAGTGGAATACTGATGTTCTTTTTGTCCTGGGAACAAGTGTATTGAACCTACAGTGGTGATACCCCAGACACCTGGTAGAAACAAACATTAAATCCTCTCTGGAACTGCACATTTATCTTTGTCCTCGTAGAAACTTCACAGGTGATTTTTTTCAAAGAAAATGAGTCACCCACAAAATAACTAAGCACATAAACAAACAAGGCATCATGAGTATTTGTTCACAGAAAATAACCAAATAGCATATCTGTTAAATGAAAACACACTGAAATAAAAATTCAAGAGATAACTTTAGCAGTTAACTGAAAGAGATGAACGAGATGCAGAGCAAATTAGTGAATCAGAATATATTAGAAAAATTATCCAGAAGGCAGCACAGAGACGAGGAAAATGTGAAAGGTGTTAAACAATGTGAAGGGAAGGCAGGGAGTGGTGGAGGTGGGCAGTATGAGATAGTTGTGTTGTTTAAATATTCACATGTTCACAGTAGCTGCTTTTTCTTTTTAGCAGATTTACCTGTCCCTGTCCCATTTTACCCATGAAGGCATGAGTACACACGAAGAGCTAGGAAGGTGAAACGACTTGCAGAGCTAGAACTAGAGTCCATCGCCCTGTTCTTTCTCCCATGAAATCGATTTGCAGTCAGTTGTTTGAGGGGAGGAAGGGAGACTGGGACCTTGGAAAGACTTGTGAACACGTACGTGGGTGTTCATAGCAGTGTTCATAATGTTCCAGAACTGGGTGTAACCAGGTGCCTACAGCAGAATGGAGAAGTACATTGTGGCAGTCTCAGGATGTACTACTAGAGAGCGACAGAAGAAATGACCCACAGCTGCTAGTGAAGATATGCACAACTATGAAATCTAGTGTAATCAGAATGATTCCATTGATAAGAGATTGAGAAACAAAACACAAAAAACTAAGACTGTTTCGTACGAATTCATACACAGGTGCTAAAATGATGAGGATCAGGAAGTTAGTTTACAAGAGTGAGCGTAGTGTCCTCTCCAGGGGAGGAAGGGAAGTTTGTGATGGTACGAAACTCACCGGCAGCCCTGCAGTGTTGCCTTTTGACTTGGGTGTAGTGATATGCATGGTAACTTCCATATTATTGTGTAAACTACTTTTGTTTATTCTTCTGCATGTATGATAGTGCTTACTGTAACCAAAACTAAAAAAAATACGGCGAAATTCAGTGTCATGCTCTTGTCTTGATTTTTAGGTAGGGATTTTGTTTGTTTGAGAGGAGGAGAAGGAAAATATCCCTTAACATCTACAGGGGAAACTTCTGGGAAGATAAGCAGCCTATTAGCTGTGCAAAGAGGATTGTGCATTTAGGAAGAGAAGGTGAAATATTGTTTATTTCAATCTGCCTACCTAGCCCTTAGTTCTACTCCCTGCCCATTCAGGAGCTACAGTTTGGTTGTGTGTCTCTGATGGGTGCATCTCTTTTCAACTCAGTCACATTACTGAGCAGATGAGTATTGGAGTGTGAAAGATGTAGAGTCTAGAGAACTAGGTCAGTGTGAGAAGTTTGAAAATACAGGTATACAATTTACATACTTTGCACAATACTGTAAGATACGGAAATAATTTAGTCTTCTCCCCCCATCTTCTATTCATTGATGAAAACAAATTTGCCTGCCTTACAATTTAATTTAAAAGAAATGAATCTAAAACAGGGATGCATTTCGTTTTTAAAATAGAAAAACATGTTTTATTAAAAGCTCGATTAATAGTTAAACAGCCTCAAATATCCATCTGAAATGAAGCAACTTCTATCGGTTCAGTGACACAACTCTTTAAGTTTCCAGTAGCAAAATATGTTCCATGAATGTTTCATCCTTAGTGCTGAAATGTATTTATCTGGGATACTAAGAGGAATGCATTGCTCTATGCCCCATTCAGAGTTAAATTTGTATTTTTTTTTTTAGTACTGTACTTTTCAGTATTTTTTAAAGTAGAGTTTACCCTCACACTGAGCTTATTAGCACAAAAATAAACTTACAGCAGATTAGGGGCTGCTATACGTTATCTTGAAGTTTTTCCTATAAAGATTACATGAGCAGAGGATTTCAAACTGTCATTCAAAATGCCATTTCTATTCATGATGATGTCTTTGCTTATGTGGCTGCTTTGTGTTTGAAGCAGAAATGATTTCACCAAGAAAAATGTTTTGTGTGTGTGAAAGTGAGAATATCGGTAGGCCTAGATTTTTATTCATATTGATTCCTGGTTACTTTGGTGCTTGCCCTCTGTATTGCAGTTATTTTCTGTTTTCCTTTGAAAGAAAAAAATGACATTTTTATAGAGACTTAAAATCTATCAATAAAGCAGTTGTGCTTTGAGAGATAGTCTCTGTTTTTTCTATAGCAAATAAAATGAAAACCACATTTGGAGAAAGTACTGCCTGAATCAATGGTATGTCTGATTGCAGTTGAAATTAATGTTTCCAGCAACTATTTTTCTTTCTGCTTTACAGATTGGTTTGGTTTCTATTCAAGAATTGCAGAAGGATCTCTTGCTTAAGGAAAAAATTCTTTTAAAATCTTGGAAAGCTTTGATAAATTCAATTCAAGGAAAAGATGATAGTACATCAAGTGCACAGGAGGTAAAATGAATCATGTAGCCATTTTATCACTTTATGAGTTGAAATTCTACAAGCTGTGAAAAGTTATTTAAATTTGAATATTGGAATTTGTTAGAAGTTGCTACTCAGTAGATCAAGAAAGAAAGCGGCAGGGACTATGCTGGTTGTCTTTTGTGACACTGAAAAATATTTCATTATGGAGTCAATATTGTACCAATTTGCATATAATTCTGTAGGACATTAAATCTTAATTAAATTAAAACTTGGTTATAAAGAACCTTGGAGAATAAGTTCTTTTGTTTAAAAAGAATTTGGCTATTAAACTTTATTTGTATGGTTTGGATAACAGTTATTCCCAAATTGTATATTTCTTGAATTTATAAATAGAATACACTGAGCATTATTTAGCCTTGTATTGGTGATGCCACAGTTTCACCATTAGTATATGACAATTGTTCTTTCAGCCCCCTGAATTGTTCATTTCGAAAGATACTTGCTCCTCTAGTAAATGTCCCCGTATTGTTTTCTTAGCGCTTTTATCGCATTTTATAATTTCATTCTTTTTCCTTGTTATTAGCCATGACAGGAACCTCTTTAGGTACCTTGCAGTTAGTGATGTCAGCGTAGTAAAATGTAGAAGCACCGAAAATGTTCAGACATCATAAAAATAGTATTGAAGCATATTAATTATATACAGAGAAAGAGCAACATAACAAAGTTACAAATCAATCAAAAAAAACTGAACAGGGAGAAACTTAATGTTTCATTTTATTCCCTTAAGTCCGTTTCTGACTTGTTCTAAGTTGGCCATTTCCGTCTCCCTTTTCCCTTCTGCACATCACCTCAGTGTTTTGCTAGAATTACAAAAGAAGAGGAATGCTTAGACAATAATGTACTGAAGCCACTATGTAGGGGGCCCTATTTTTAGCCCTTTGCACTGCTAATTAAAGAAAGACCCTGGCAGGTTAGTAACAGTTTCCTCAGGTTGCAGATTCAGCTTTCCTCACATCCAGTGGCTACTGGCATAAACTTTGTAGTACCAGGAACCTGTTAATCCACTGTTGTGTAAGTGCCTGGATTTTGTGCAGTAGTTACTACATAAAGAGGCAGTGTAGAGTAATGGTTAAGTGAGAGTGTGATCCGTGCAGCCAGTCTGCTTCAGTTCAAACCCAGCTCTGCCACTTACTCGCGAGCTGTGTGAACTCGGCATGTTTCTTAACCTCCCTGAGCTTCATTGTGCTTATCCGGAAAAGGTGGGTAATCATGCAAGCTACCTAGGATACTAAAGGTATTGTGAGGGTTAGAATGAAGTGATACATGAGTGGATTTAGAACAGTGAATGACATAAAGTAAACTCAATAAATAGTACATATTATTATCATTACCTCTATTCCTACTACTACTATTTCAGTTTTTACTATAAATGTGTATGTGTGTGAAAATGGCTGAGTATAGCCTGGAGTTTAAGAATAAAATTTTACTAGTAATCTATAAATAAAAAGTCCAAAGATAAAGTTAATCAGTTTTATTAATTTTATAGTTGTAGGCTTGGGGTAAGTCAGTGATAATGTATAGATTGGATTATTTTCAGTGTGCTTGGGATATATGGTATACTGACTGACTTTAAAAATGGACTCCAGGTAACTATGGAATGTAACCTCTAGCAACTGTGAGCTAAATAAACCTTTCCCCCCTTAAAAAAAAAAATGGACTCCAGGTTTCTATTCTAGGTGGCTCTATGTTGAATAACTCATCTTGTACCAGTCATGATGTGCTGCTTTTTCTGATTAGATAGTTCATGTATGTTTTATAAATTTCATTTTACTAAGTTATGTGTAATCTATAATATAATGTATTTTAAAATGTTTAAGCAATGAGGCTTGACCAAAAGCTGATTTACATTATTTTTATTTTGTTACATTTGGTACATTTTTTAATCAGTTATTTAAATATATTTTTCCATTAGGATTTTCTTGTTCCTTTTTGTGGTGAAGAAGAAAATAGTGTCCATCCCTTTGATGAAAAGTTACCAGAACAAGTTCAGAATTCAGAACAGCTAATAGAGAAGATCTGGTATCGTGTAATGGATGATACCTTAGTTGTTGGCGTGAAAACCACATCTTCTTTGAAGCTGTAAGTTCTGACATGGTACTGCTGTGCTGGTACTCTAGACCAGCAATGGTGAACATTTTAGAGCTCGCTGAACAAACAGCCTGCTGTGGCACTAGTGCCATGGTTTCACCACCGCTGCTCTAGATCAGTGCTGCCAATAGAAATTAATGCAAGTCACATGTGATTTTAAATGTACTAGTAGCCGGGGCTGGGGATATAGCTCAGCGGCACAAGCGCCTGCCTGGCAGGTGTGAGGTCCTGAGTTCAATTCCCGGTACCAAAAAAAAAAAGTACTAGTAGCCATATTAAAAAAGTAAATAGAAGCAAGTGAAATTAATTTTAATGATGTGTTTTATTTAACCCAATATATAAAAAATATTTCACTATGTAATTGACAGAAAAACTTAATGAGACACAGTATTTTAGATTTTTTTTGTACAAAGTTTTAAAAATTTGGTGTGTATTGTATGTATCTAACACATTGCCAGGCAGAGTGGGCACATTTCTGGTGGTTGATAGCCATATGTGCCTAATGGCTGCTCTCTTAGCCAGCCATACTCTAGAAGTGTCTTTTACCCAGGGCATTGAGTTAATAGTATGAAGAGGGTGACATTTACAAAGTCAAGCCACTGTAGTCTCATGATAGAGATAATTAACAGCACATAAAACTTTCTATCAGAACATTTAGAAGTATTAGGAACATTTACAGACTGTGGACTGGTCTAGGTTGGTGAAAATTTAGTTAAGGAACAATGTCTCTCTGATCGTAGAGGATATGCTTTTTTGGCCTATCAAAATCATGGATAAAGAAGTAATATTTATGTTGTGTGTGGCCTAGCAAAGAGCTCTTTAGTCAAAACAGGTTAAATACAGGTCTTACCGTACTATATTTGAACCACAAATACGTGAGCAGAGACAGAGACAGACCAGATAGTGCCTTGTAAAAGACGGAGAGACGATGGCAATATATTTGAGCATTTTAACGAAGTATGGAACCAAGACCACTTATCTAGTGGCTTTGAGATATGGATTTATTCTTTTAGTTCAGTGAATTCCTCAGGTGTTTTAGGCTAGTTGATCATATGAGTATTTTGTCTCTCTTCCTTAAAGTGTTGAGTTATATTAACCAGTTTTCTACTGTAAGTCCAGTCTTGCGTTACTGAGATAAATCCAAATTCATGATACCATTTTGGTGCTTTGATGAATTTGGCTTACTACTGTTTGGTTGAGAATATATGCGTGCATGTTCGTGAGTGAAGTTGGCTTGAATTTTTCTGAACAGTACTTGTTTGGTTTTAGTATAAAGGCTAAACTACTATCTTTGTTTATCTTTTTGAGTTAGGGTCTTGCTCCAGTATCCAGGCTGGCCTGAAACTCTTGGGCACAAGAGTTTACAACTTGTCCCATTTGGTACTCCATGTTCCTCCTCAAACCAATTAATGACAAGTACAATTCTCAAAAAAGAGAAGTAGTGAGGTACCCATGCAATCATGTTTAGCGTATTAAGGAAATAAAAAAGAAATGGAAAATATGAAAAAGCTAACCAGGCGCTACGAAAAAGAAAAATAGAACTTACAATAAATGTAAATAATAATAAATAATAAATAACAATAAATAATAATAATAAATAATAATAAATAATAGTCTCACCTCAGCTTCCTGAGTCTATGGGACTATAGGAGTGATCACCATACCTAGTTTATACTACTGTATAAATAAGTTAAAGCTTATTTTCTTTTCTCTGTTTTGAGAATTATTTCCATTTTTTCATCTTCTCTGGAATACTTTGTATGAATTTGGAATTATCTGTTCTTTGGTATTTGGTTATACTTAGAAGATAGTAGAAACCTGACTTTTGTATGAGATAATTTTTTTTTTTTTTTTTGGTTTTTCTCCGGTACCGGGAACCGAACTCACGACCTTGCGCTTGCCAGGCAGGCGCTTTTGCCGCTGAGCTAAATCCCCAGCCCCTATGAGATAATTTTTAACTTCCGATGCAGTTTTTAAAAAGTTATAGGTTTATTCAGGTTTTATTTATTCTTAAATGTACTTTGCAAATATCTTCTAGTAATTTTTCTGTTTCATGTAAAAAATCACATTTATTAATATAAATTGTTCCTAGGAGACTCGGGTATTTATCAACTATAGTATCAGAAATTGTCAAGTGTTTTTCATTCTAAACATCTCTTTTTCTTGATTAATTTTGCTAGAAATATATATTATTAATCCTTTCACATAATTGTTACGTTGATCTTCAGTTGTATGTTTCCTATTTAATTAATGTTGATACTTATTATTTTCTTCTACTTGCGACTTTTTCTGTTACTGTTTTTCTAACTAATTCACCATAATGCTATTAGATGCAGATTTCTCTGATTCTCCTTTAGGTTGTTGAACTTCCTGGCCCTGAAAATCAATTTTTTTTTTCTGGAAACTCAAGAAATTCTTAATTATTATCTCTTCAGATATTGGAGTCCTGATTTATTTCCTTATGGAATTTCATGCCTGTTCATTTTATAGTCCATATCTCTTAACTGCTCTTTCATTATTATTTTCTGTTCATCTCTGTGTGAATGCAGCTAGTTTCTTCTGATGGATATTCTGTTTGGTTATTTTATCTTTACTTCTTTCTATTCAGTTATTTAATCCACCCTTTGAGCTTCTCATTATTTATTATTATTTACATTTATTGTAAGTTCTATTTTTCTTTTTCATAGCACCTGGTTAGCTTTCTCATATTTTCCATTTCTTTTTTATTTCCTTAATACGCTAAACATGACTGCATGGGTACCTCGCTACTTCTTTTTTGAGACTTGTACTTGTCATTAATTGGCTTGAGGAGGAACAAGGAGTACCGAATGGGACAAGTAGTAAGCAAATTGTTTTGGCTGGGAAGGGTAGGGAGTCATGAGGCAGGTCCTAACTTGCACATCATGTACCAAGCGACAAAATTTTTGTGTTAAAAACATTGAGTACCAAGTTCAATGAGTTTCAAGGCAGTCAAATACCAAGGTATGACTGTACTTTTAAAATGTTTTTATACATAGAAGATTTAAACATACAGAGAGAATACTATGATGACCCTACCTACCTGTCACTGAGCTCCAGTAATCATCAACTCATTGCTAACCTTGTTTCATCAGTACCTCAATTCACTCCTCACTCCCACTCTGTGGATTATTTTGAAGCAATCAGTGGCATCAATATTTGATTCATAACTATGCCAGTGTATGTATCTAAAAAGCAAGAACTTAAAATGTGTATAATCACCTCTGGAAATTACTACTAATTCGTCCAGTAAGTATTTAATTTCCTGATTGTCTCAATTTTAAAATAATTTGTCAACTCAGTAGCCAAATAAAGCCTATAAATTCAACTTACTATCTCTAAGTCCCTTGTATTCTATAGATACTCTTTTCATGTTATATATATATGTGTGTGTGTGTGTATTTTTTTATTTCTCTTGTAATTGTGTGTTTTAAAGAAACCAAGGAATTTGCCTTATGAAGTTCTGTAGAAGTGTGAATCTAGATTTTGCTGATTTCATCTTGTAGTATTGTTTCGCATGTTTCTCTGTCTCCTTTGTTTCCTCTAACGTGGTAGTTAGATCTAGAGGCGGGATCAGATTCATGCTTGAAGTTTTATTGAGAGCATACTTAATAGATAATGTTACATTCTTCCATCTGGAGGCATAGAAAATCTGGTCATTTTGTAGCTCTTGGTGATCGTTGCTTAGTTCTGTTGTTTTATTAGGATTTGCAATGTGATGACATTCTAATTGTATCATTGATTCTTCATTAGCTACAATACTTGTATCAAGAGAACATTTCTTCTCATCGGTTACTTAGTTATACCTTCAAATGTAATTTGTAGTTTGGAGATCAGTTTGGACCTAGAAGTTGCTCAATTGCTCCTAAGTGGATTGTTTTTTCCGTGCCTTTTTAGTGGACAGAGGTAGAAGATTGGATTTGGTTAGTTGAATGGTTGTATTTTTTGTTATTTTAGTGATAAAGCAGCATAAATCCATGCTGAGATTTCTAGTTCAAGCTAAGGACTTTAAGGTCTTTACTTACCACTATTAATCTTATAGAAAATCTCAATTTTCAGTTCCTCCAGCATAATTACTCATTTGCTTCACTTCTCAATCTATGTGCAGTATTCACAGAATAACAATACCAACCATTTGATTATTACAAATTAAGGTTTCATTTTAAATCTTTAGCATAATCCATTAGATATGTAGTGAAATACTTGTGTGCTAAAGTCTTCTCTTAAGCTGGGTGTGGTGGCACACATCTATAATCCCAGCATTTGGAAGGCTGAGGCAGGAGGATTTTTGAGTTCAAGGCCACCCTGAGTGAGTTAAAGGCCAACCTGAACTACATTGCAAGACCCTGTCTGAAAAAAGAAAATAAAATAAAATTTAAAAAATCAAGTCCTCTCTTTGTTCATGTCATGTTTCTCATCTGTTTCTTTTTATTTTTTTTATTTTTTGTTGCATTTTTTCTGAAAAATGAAACAAATTAAAAACGATACAGAATTTCAAAACAAGATGATAGGAAATCAGGGGCTGGGGATTTAGCTCAGCGGCAAAAGCGCCTGCCTGGCAAGCGCAAGGTCGTGAGTTCGGTTCCCGGTACCGGAGAAAAACCAAA